TTGGAGGCATAAGACTTACCTTACTCTTTCTTTCTCTCTCCGTAAAATCTGAAGAGTAAATTTGGTTTAAATTTGATTATGATACGTAGCAAATTCCAATCCTAATTATTTTTTTTTCATCAATCCTTTTTGCAAAAATTAGCCTTAGCTAACTAAAATGAATCTCTCCATGAAAGACCAAAACCATTTTTTATTGATAAGGTGCTAATTCCAAAAACTATTTTAACCATTTTTTTATAGGAAAGAAACTAATCTCAATTTCTTACTTTCAAAAAAAAAAAAAACCTAAAGATTACCAAACAATGCGCCTAGAAGTTTCATGTTACTTGGGCCTAAAGAAAAGATCATCACCATACAGAACATAGCTTTATTCATACATATGTAAATTCTTTACTTTTTGTGGACCGTGCCTTAGAATTTATTGTTCATAAACTTCTTTCTGAGTGTTTTTATTACGGTAGCATAATTAGAAACTTGGCTCAAATGTTGTTTCGTCTCTCGTTTTTAATTCTGTGTTGGTGTTTTAACTTTAATTATCTTCAGATTAAGAAAATAGAAGCAAGGAATTAAACATTTCTGGTTTTGATTCTTCACTTTCGCTTTGGGAACATAAAAGAACATAGTGAAAGAAATTTCTGAATGATGTTAAAAATGACCATATAGTGTTTGCCGGCACACTTCATTTTTGTGCTTGATACTCCACGGTTAAGGGACACGTGGAATCAGTTGGTAAATAAAGTTTTTCTACTTTTGGACCATTTGTTGTTTTGCGAACACTTTAAATCATCTCCGAACAGATTATAGTATTTAAATCGCGTAAATATTATATCTTATAATTATATTTCAATTAGTGCATATGTTAATTCTTTTTTAAACGATTCACAATTATAATTAATTTATTATTCATGATTGATGTTAATTATGTAATATATGTTTTTAAAATTAAATTTAAATTAAAATTAAACTTCAAATTAAAAAAAAAATGAGAAAAAGATGTTGGGTTTTTATAAGAATGGAGTTTCACATACATATATGAGAGAGAGATATACACTAGATAGTTAGACTGAATTACACGCAAAATAACACTTTCCATTTGTACGATTGGATTCGGCCTTATGCTTTATCTAATTCTGATGGATTAAAAAGCAATTAGAGCTGGCAAGATTAGAAGAACACTAACACAACTCTCCTCTTATTCTTCTCTCCTTTTCTTTTTTCTCAGCTCCAAAAGCCTTTAGAGAAGTTTCTTGCAAAAAAACAAGAAACACTGTTAAGTAAAAATTTATGCTTTACTCTCTCGACAGGATTTGAACAACAATTTTTAAAAAACAATGAACAAACTACAAGCCGACGCCGTTTTTATAATCAAATGCCTTGAAAGTACAAGGACTTTAACAAAAAATTACAAATCAACAAGCATTCAAAACAAAGAAACAACAAACAAACTAAAAGATTGACTTCAAGATGAAACGCACTAAAATGTTTAGCAAAGATTTACAAAACAAGAGAACTAACCGAAAATTTGAAAATATGTCCGGCTTGGCACCTCGGCAGCACTTCCCAGACACCTCTGCCACGCTGTGGGGTCTTTCCAAAAAAAGATATGTCCCCACATGCAACATGAACTTAACGTTTGGGAATTTTTTAATTTCATGGTAGCTAAGGCAAGGAAGTTGATTCAGCATTGCTTTTCTTTTTGTTCTTTGCATTGTATTGCCTTTGAAAACAACGGCCGCGGCCAAGGTGGACACCCGAATTCCATGACGCAATCTTGTCAAAGGCGACCGAACGCTGCTCATGCATGTCCGATGACAATGTTATGATGAGCAAATTCAGGTACCCATAACGCCAAATGCGCCGCGAAATCGACGTCAAACCCATTCTCTCTTAATCGTTCAGTGCGACATCGTCTCAAGCCGCACGCCACTATGCCAGTCGAACCAGCATTGTCCTGGCTATACAAAATTCTACCTTTATAATCATCCTCCGATCCTGTCCCCAAAAATCATTTCTGTTTTGCTAAGTTTTTTTTGTGATAAAAATTAATTTAGTTGCGATTTGTAATACTGTTAGGGCATGGGAGAATCCAAGGACACACAGGAGCCATTTCAAGAAGAAAGGCCAACAATAGGGTGTCATTAACATTTTGGGTGTCCCCCCCCCTTGATTTTTTTAATTTTTTTAAAAAAAAATATAACTAATTTTAAAAATCTAATTATAATTTACATTATCAGCTAGCATACAAGTGTCAAATTGGCATGGACGGCCATCAAATAACAGTCTCTCTGTTCACCGTGCTATCAAACTATTCATGGGAAGCCAAGCTGGTGCTTGCACTAGCAGCTTTCGCTTTGAACTACGGAGAATTCTGGCTCCTGGCTCAGATCTACACATCAAACCAACTCGCAAAATCAATGGCACTCCTGAAGCGATTACCGGTCACCGTGGAACACTCTGGCCCAGTGAAATCCCGGTTTGATGCACTTAACACTCTGATCAAGGCCATGTTGGATTTGACCAGGTGCATTGTGGCATTGAAGGATCTACCCTCTTCATATGTCACACAGGAGGTGCCTGCCTTGTCCGCGGCCATAGCCACTATCCCAACTGCTGTCTACTGGACTGTTAGAGGCATCATCGCTTGCGCTACCCAGATCACTAGCCTCACTAGCATGGGCTTTGAGTACGTTTAATGATTTGTTACAATGTTAACTCATTTAAGTATCAAATCTTTATGTATGAATATCTAGTTTTCCAGTTAATAATATGAAATATGTTTGCAGATTCATAACTTCGGCTACAGAGGCATGGGAGCTATCGAGCTTGGCTCAGTAGATCAACAGCATACATGACCATCTTAAGAAGCAACTCGAACTCTGCTACCAACTCGCAGGTCATTAAGCACTAACCATTTCAAAAAAGTTTAAATCTACACCATCCACTTCACTTTCGCCATAAAAATTCATGAT